AACGGGCAGGGTATACGATACAGTCATCATGCAGAGTCATCATCGGATCTGTGACAGAGACCTTCGGCTGGATCGACAACACGGCGGCTATTACTATCTCATAGTTATATATAGACAATACTACAGTGCTGTAGAAGACCCTGGCTAAGACAGACCACTAGATAGTAAAGTATATCTCAAAATTTACCCAGATAAGTTTGAGCTAATATACTTTACTAATCCTCAGGATCCTAACCCTATATAAGAGATCTCGCTAGCTAAACCAAGCCCGATTCCTATATCTAAGCCGATACTGATATCAACCCGAATTCTTACCGAAGACAACAACAAGTTCTGGGAGATCTCGGAGAAACCGCTAAGAAATAACTAAATAGAACTATACTATCAAGGAACCATAATCAAGCTGAGAAAATTGGTAAAATACTTAGAGATATAGCTCGATAAGATCCTCTTGTTTACAATATATTAAGCCAAGGTACTGGCCAAGACTAATACTATATTTAAGATACTAAAAGGGATTACCTGATCTATATAGGGCTCCAGTCTACTGGCTATACAGCGAATATATCTCGCGGTAGTTATTCTATAATTACTGTACAGGATCACCGTATAGTACAGCCTGACAGGAGGCCGTGTAAAGTTCTCCAAAAACCAGTTTATTTTAAACAAATTTAAAAGAATACAGAAATAGGCTGTAATCCTGATCAGTAATACTTTTAAAAGTACTGCAGAAGCGGCTCTTGATCTAGAACCATATATTCTGTCTATTAAATAGCATATACAGTAGATTATCGAGAAAATAGTAGTTCGGATTTATACTAGATCAGAGATCAGATATCCTAGAGATCTACTACAACTATATTTAAACAAGGAGCTTAAACACAGCAGACCAACCCTGTTAGAGATATTACAGAGAAGAGAAGGGCTATTAACCCCATCGAGACCCAATAAGATGTGGGAAACAAGAAAAGTATATATTCTAGTGCTATAGGAAAAGCCGCTGATCTGCTCTATCTTAGACTAGAAGACTGCGGTCTTATATTATAATAAATTTTACAGAAACTGATAAGACACCGCAATATATACTGATAGCAGTAGATTCTTGGACTATATTAGTATCTCGGCGGTCTGTCTACAAACTGGCAATATATAATAAAAACTTTTGGGTGCTGAGGCCGAATCTACAGTATACACAGTAGAGTTGCGGGACAGTAAATAGCTCTGATCACGGTAGCCAGCTGTCCATAATAGGTAGTAATTTTTGTAGACAGCTAGACAGTGATCAGAACAGTATAGAACCCTGGTAGATCTTCGGATCAGTTCCTACTCTAACAGATCTACGCGGTGGCCCGCCGGTACGATCTAACCTACTGAATAGGAATCCAGTGGATTCCCGCATATATCGAGGTTCTAGGAAACGAGTGAGCCGATAAGACCGCGAAGAAAATAGTAACCAATCCATATCTATAACAATGCGACGGCCCAGTCCATCTGGCAGCCGCGACCAAACAAATAATCCGTCTCAAGATACGTAAACAATGGGTGGACAAATAGATATGGGACGCAAAAACCGCCCGACTAACAGCGACCCCGACACACCGGTTATTCAAAGAACCGGATAGAAAGATTCTTTAGCCAGAGCTGAAGGATCTTACCAAACTATACACAGATATTGCTATCCGGATATGCATGTACCGGATAGGACTTCGCCACTTCTTATATAAAATCAAGGTGGTTGAGTCAGATCAGTGTAGCTGCGAGGAGAACTCCCAGACATCGAGGTATGTCCTTCAGCAGTGTCTGCTGTACACCGGTCTTCACACAGCCATGCTTGATAAGATCAATCGGATCAGGGGGCTGCGCGGCAAGACCGCGTACTACGATGTACTTATATCCCACCCGCAGGCAATTCGTTGCATTGCCGAGTTTATACACAAAACAGGTCTACTCAGCCAGTTCCGCGACGCGGAGCTGGTCACGGACCCAGAATCTACCATCAAAACTAATGGAGCAGAGGGGGAAGACGCTGGTTAAATAGTCATAGGGAAGCTGGGCAGGGTCAGCCCAGACCGGTGGTTTATAAATATATCGAACTACAAGGTGAACAGAACGGGGACAAGACGCAGAGGATGGTTTAAAAGACTAGGAGAGATGCCGTGGCGGGCACGTTAGTTGTGAAAAACCTTTTCGTTCATTATATCTCCTATGTACTGTGGGATTTTGGGTGAGGCGTTCTGGACCAAGATTCTGTCTCACCGGCGAGGCGCCTGCATAGCTAGACATTTCATCAGTTAGGCTCTATCAGGTTAATAGAATTATGATTGATTGATTGATTGGTTGGTTGATTGCGACTTAGCGGATCGCATTGAGAACCTTCAACCGGAGATAACGCATAATTTGCAATCCTAGAGAAGGTTGAATGTTTCAAAGTCGATCCCTTTGCCAAGAGGGTGCAGCACTATTAGTGAAATAGAACAGATAACCAACGTTCGTCGTGACTACTGAACTAAGTCACTCTTCTTTCCTGTCGTAAACAGTATGGGCACAGTAAACTTCTCCTGGGTGGCATACTTGACCAATCATTCCGAGAACCCTAGACTAAAATGGAAAACAGGATTATGTGACTGCATATTTAGCCGCATTGAAAAGATTCTCCATCAATGCCAGGCAATCCAACTTAACATTGAAATGGTCTTGCGTCTGATCCTGAAACCTCTATTTGGAGCCTTTCGTCTATGAGACAAGCAGCAGCGACTAAACATCAAGCGAGATGTACATACTGTGCTATGAGGCTTACTTTAATAATCTGCGGCAGGCGAAATTTGGCTTACAGTCAACCTGCAATTGTATAGTCATGGTTAAAAGTCATAGATTCTTAATTATCTATATACTACAGTAGTAGGGCCCTATAATAGGTGGTATCTTGACTTAAAGGCTACAGTACCTGGAGATAGAATAAGTCCTTTAAACTTAAAGAGCAGTCAAATACTGCAAGACTAAGTTATTTAAAGTGGTAAGTGACTTTGGAAGCGGACTAATCGATTTTCCAGGTATGTGTCTATCATGATATATTTTGCTGTACGTTAGATTCTAACTATTCTGGCGGACTAAATCTAGCTTATAGTCAAACCCATGAATTTTTACTGAAGTTTACCAACAGCAATGCACTATTATATATCTAACTACGTCTATCTATTAATTCACATCATGTTTTCTTTCATGCGCCAATATGAAAAGGGACTTGCAGAAAGTAAGTACCAGGATTTTAATACCGGATTTGCTAAACGACCATGCCTTTACTACTTACTGAAACATAAATTATCTGTAGAGCAGCATTGGAATCTGCAAAGCTTATGTGCACTCATCAGAGACGACTGGCGTCGTTGCGTTTGTCGCTCCACAATTAGAAGCACATTAAAATTTCATAAAGAGGCGCAGATGATAAATTGATAGCAGATTTCTGGCGCGTTGAAGATGGACTTCCTTTCCCGAAAAAAAAATGCGCCGCAGCTATACTATGCCAGCCCATCCTGAGCACAATCTACTGCAATTTACTATAGAGTAGCCACGTTGCGGAAGTTAACAATAGAAGCCGAGCGGAAAGTCTGTACCACTAAATCACAGTTTAGGAACCATGAATGTGTTACGTTACACTTAGTTCTCCCATGAATAATCTTTTCGTGACTAAACCCACAAGGCTCTATACAGAAGATGGACATCATGGTGTCAATAGTCCCTTTTCAGGTTATAATCACTTCCCTGGAGCTACTCCTTTCTATGAGACCATTTTTAATCACACTGCCAATCTAATTTATATACAAATATTGATGGTGTATCATTTCACCTTCGGCTTCTATTCACATACATAGTCTCATCTGATCAGAATACCTATAACCCAGGAAAAACGCCAGAAAGTAGACACCGTTAGTATATATATACCAGGCTCGATGACCGTGTCCCCAATATTCAGCTAGATGTGGGCTCGTAAGTCTGGGGCCGACGCTTGCTAAATGTTCGTTGTACCCCTTCTCTTGAGGCTCGTTCCACAGATCTCCTATGCCAAGTTAGTAAGACAACTCTCTCATTACAAATGACAGTTCCATACCCCTCGTCTCCGCGCAAAATCACTATAAAAGCCGAGCCATAGGTCGCGGGAACGACAGTCCTCTGCGCCTGAGACCGTATCATTGTGACACATCGGTTGGTTTTCTTGTATGATGGGCTTTGGAGCGCGGATCCCCGGCTAAAATAATCTTAGATCAGCCCATCGGAGTGGAACCGGACGGGGAGTTGGTTGGTAAGTATTCCGTTCCTTACCTTGGGCACGGGCCAGTCGGAAAAATGCAGATATTTTGCCTCCTTAAAGACTTGGTCGGGATCCCACATTTCGATATCGTTGCCCAAGTAAGCGGTATGATCATTCGAGCGGAACTCCCCGGTCAACAGACCGTATGGCCGGTGGGGTAGGATAAGGGCGCTGTCGCGGTAAAGGTGATTGACAATTTCCATATCGTACTCGGAGTCGCTCGCTTTCTCGATCGCCTGCATGACTCGGTTGAACTCGAACTCAGACGGCTGAATCAGCATTATATAAGAGCCTAATACGCGGTCGTCGAAGTTGCCCCAATAGGCACGCGGCATGGCAACGGGACACGGGGGTAGAAGGAAAAGTTCATCAACGGACTGCGAACGGGGCCCCTGAATTAGTCTACCTCCCATGAGTTCATCTGCTGAGGATATAGATACCTGTAGGATAGTTGCGTCTGAATCTAAACTAAGAACGCGATCATATTGGGTCTGGTTGAAGGCAAGCAGCTTCGTGTAGCTCTTGGCCCATGTGGCTGGCTATGATCAGTTGCTCGGTTTGGCTTTTCTCGGAGTTGTAAAGCCAGAATCAGGATATACCTTCGTTAGTAGGCTTACTTTGGACGGTGATGGGTACGAGCTGTACACCATATTGGTCCTGGGCCTTGTGGAGCAGTCTTCCTTCCGCAGAACTGTTCTCCAGTTTAAATTCGGATGGAAACATCATCAGTCTGTCCGCCTTGCTGTTCAGGCGGGACAGCGATTCAAAAATCATGACCGAATTACAGAGATAGTCAAGGTTCGTAACATATTGCACATAGGCGTAGCGTGACCAGTCAACAGAACTCGCTGGGTAACTTAGTGAAGGAGGGAAAGGAGAAGAAAATTCAGGTAATGGGTTATCCCGCAAGGTCACCGTTTGAAGCATCAGTAGGCTGGTGACGAAAAAGGTCATAAAGAAAATGATCGCTGAGGTGCGACGGGCCCGCGAGGTGAAAAGCTTCATAGCCGTGATCTGAACGGCAGAACCCATTGATCAAACCAAGTTGCAAACTGCCGATTTGGCAGTTAGGCATCTGAGACCCTTTTTCAATGGGGTTCTGGTTGGATACCAGATCTAATGGAGGACGACAGCTAGACTCAGCAGCCGGTTACGGACCTCTTACCCCATAGCTTAGCATTTCCTTTATTTAATCCGCCCAGATCTATAATTAAATATGCATAGTACGGGTTGTTCATAGGTCATTAGGTTCATTTATCCTTTGTCCGTCAGCAATTGCGTTTTCCTAGACACAAAGAATGAAGTCTGAGAACAAATTTTTCAATCAGCCCCGTCCATACTATCCACAGCCCTTTGAGGTTTGATTTCACCAATCGGAGCCATAACTGTAAGTGTCTGGCGTTCCAGGTGGGGCTCTTCACAGTCGATCGTCGTCCGGCACAACAAGTGCCCTGCTACTATATGGAGTACTCACTAGGCTTGTCGGTCCATGGGCATAGGAGATGTCTGTGTATGGTTCTAAGGGCTGCGCTGCAGCCGAACCCTAGGAATTAACCCATCCCTCGCAGCTATGACCGTTCTCTATAGCATTATGTAGGGTCCGTGCTGATAGAAAACAAAGCTAAATTAAGAACAAAGAATGAATAGATATATAGATAGATTATCGTTGATAATGCAGAGTACCCTAGTTCTAAACCAAGCCTAGTTAATTTCGTAATGGAACGGACTGATCCAGCCCTCAACACGAACCATGGACATGGTCGGTGGTGGATAGCAACTTTCTAGAGTCCGCATTTTCCAGCATTGAAGATAGTTCCTAAGTTTGAGTTCTGAATCCGTTCCATAGGAAAAATGCTAAGTACTTTTGCCTTCACTCAATTGTTATTGGAGCCACTCCATAGATACCATGCAACTGTTGCCACCATATACGTACCAAGGGCATATCGCTAAAGATGGCATTGAAGAGCAAAACCAGGCTTGGCTCCGCTCCCTAAATTACTCCTCATCTCACGAAGAAGTCTTACTATGGTCTAGTCCCAGTGACCGATTCCTGAACTGATGAGCGCCCCCAGGACACCATGAGGCAATGGAAATGGTGTATTATCGCCTGGTTAGTGGAACACCATTTAGTCAGACAAGGCTCAATCCTCCTTCGAAATATTAATGATACATAGCGAAACATACAGATAGCATTTTATAAATCACTGCGTCCCTCTGCGCTGTAACAGGTCCTCAGCCATATCTAACGAATAGTTCCACTCCTTGGCCCCCTCTCCGTAGTCCTCATGATTTTAAGCCCTGTATTCTCCTCGGCATGCTCTACAGGATGGCGTGAACCTGCTAAATGCCTATGAATACTTAGAATTCCTTTGTTCCCCGCTGTTGGCTATTGCACGATGAAACACTATATAATATATGTCTCTCTTCTTCTTTTGAGAAGCCCTGGTTTCATTGCCGCAGGACCCTTGTCCATCCCGTGGTCGGATAAGACGCATGGGCCGGATGGGCCATGTCATGCAGCTACGATCAGTCTAGGCTCGCCCCAGCAAGCAATCGACTTGTATCCCGGGGGCAGTTGAGGTAGTGGAATCCTCCTCTCCACGACCTGTCAGAAAGCTTCCCTCCCTTCCATTTGCTATGCAGATCGAGAGGGAGCGCTGTTCAACAGTGACCTCTGCAGGACCCGGGACAATACACCCATTCGGCTACCTCTTATGAACAGTGATAAGACAATCCAACCAATGGGCCTTGCCAAATGAACTACCCCGTTACGGGAATGCAGTGCGTACGTTCGACGAGGGCAACATTGAAGGCTATTCAATACCAAATTTCTCGCTGAACGCCTTCTCCGATACCTACCAGGTATACCCGGGAGGTAAGGCGTACCAAGTCGAAATGGGGGGGGGTTCTCTCGCTCGGATGTTCTAACATCAATCGGACATTCATGGCAAATCGCAGCATCGAGACAACATTCGTCCCTAGTTATGTCCATGAGCATGATGACATCCGTCTATATTCTAACGGCGTGCACATTGGCTCCGTACCCTTGGGGATTCCAGAATCGCTAGTGTTGGGCGGTTATGGCAAAAACCGGGTGCTGGGTGATGTTTCGACGCAATCATACTCGAGTGGCGACCTCCCTATTGATCTACTAAATCTCAAAATCGGCGTCGTGAGCGGCGACTCCCCCTGGACGTAGATGGATACACTCGGTCTCCTCCACCGGGGCAACACTTCCATCAACTACAGTGTCACGGTTTTCGCAAGCGGTGCCAACCCCTACATATATCTCCCACACATCACCTGTGAAGACATCGCGGCCGAACTCCCCATTACGCACCATCCCGAATATGGTCTTTACTTCTGGAACACCGAGGACAAGCGCTACTCCGACATTGTGAGCGCACCGACCTATCTGGGGTTTACCTTCAGTAAGAACGGGCTCAATAACGCATATATCACCATCAATGTTCCATTTTCACTGCTAAACCTGACGCTGGAGGCACCGCTCGTGAACAAGCCCACTCCATATTTCCCCTGCATGGGCAAGGATAGGAGCTACGTACTGGGCTGAGCGTTCACGCAGGCTGTTTTTGTCGGCGTCAACTTGGGGCCGCATCAGGGCAGCTGGTTCTTGGCGTACGCTCCTGGCCGCAACATCCCCGGTACCACTACAGTGGTAACGAACAACCCCTCAGATAGTACGGTAAGTAGCAGTTCTAATGATTGGGAAAGCAGCTGGAAGGTGGTTTGGAAGGAGCTGCCTACAACATCGGCTTCAATCACGAGCACACCGATACGGTTGGAAGATAGAAGCAGGAGCAGCGGATTTTCTATGGGAGCCAAAACCAGTACTGCCGTTGGAGTAGCGGCAGCAGCAATCTTCGTGATCTGTTGCATTGCTTGACAGTGGCTGCGGGCCGTCGACAGCCTACGCTGGTAGCTGTTCAAAGACAGGGAAGGGATCAGGAGCAGCCTAAGAGGATATATGAGATGGATAACTCTGAGAGGAGTCAGGTGTACGAATTGTCTTAAGTAGATGGTTTTGCTTCAATTTCGTACGTTGGATATATTAGATATTATGATGTGCGGGCGCCGTGAATGGTGTCAAGGTGGATCCTGTTAACTGTACAATACATACTAGACAATATAGACTTGCAAAGGCAGTAGAGTATCCTAGGTATCAGAACCGAAATTGGTACCCTACTATGATAATTTCAGAGGGTTGCTTTCAATAGCATCATCTTTTAGCTGCACATTTGAACCGCCTCCATGCCCATGGCCAAGACGCAGCACAAAAGCAGCCAGATAGAATGGACCATCTATGTATGCCTCACGCTGGTCGGCAAAAGGGAAGCACAGATATCTATCAAAAAGTCCAACGGCTTTGACAAAGGGCTACACAAATGATGGTTTAACACAGTCCATCGTGGTGAAGTAGGTTCGTGGATTCGTAGAACTGAAGTAAGTGCAACCACTGCTACAACCATCCCCAAACTTCACAAGATTGACAGGCGAACCGGGGAAGACGAGACCCATTCCAAATGGTGCAGACCATCCCTGCTAGAGCATTATATTGGGTGATAGGACTACCGAAAAGGGGAGAATTCTAAGCTGGATTTAAGGAGAACTAAAGACATAGGAGAAAAGAGTAAGGATCAGTCTGTTTTGTATTTCTTCTACTATTCAATGAATAAGTGACGCCTTTGTCTCCACTCTCCTACGGACACTCAATAATATCTCTTCTAAATTTAAAAATTATTTTCTATTACTTCTGGAAAAGTTAATTATTAAGACTTTAATACCCCATAGGACTATAGCTCTATTTGTGTATTTTTTATATTATTTAATAGTTTATTCTAAATTCTGATAATGGTTAAAAAAAAAAAAAGGTGTAGACAGTCAGTACTACTGTGGGTGCTTAAGCGCACATATTATCGGAACACGACCGTAGCCAATGATGGATATCTTTGGGCCGTAAAGTGTCCCACCTTCCATCTCGGCGGTACATGTGGGAAATCAAAATTCACGGCAACGTCATATTGCAGGCAACGCTGCATTGGCTACCAGCTGCATGATTTGGAGTTGCATCAGGTACTCATGCATGAACTGTATGTGTGCCAACACTGGTTCCCCGGTCGTCGCTTTCCACTTGGCCTAGTATATGTCTCTTGGAGTGCACGTTCCAATTATAGATCATTGCCATAAATACCTTTTCCATTATTTAGGACAGAACAAGACATTGTACGCATCGTGGACTATCTCCATCTGAGACGACGACGCAATGGCTATGAATCCCGTGGTCGTGAGCCATGAGGAGAAGCGCATCCATGAATTTTATCAGATAGTGTACTTGCTACAATCCCTAGGCGTCCGGAGAGGAGATCGCATCCGGGGAGGACCTTCAGAGAAACAGGAACCCTGCACTGTTGCGAAACATAGGCGGAATGTTGCCGACGCTCTGGCGTACATGGCCGCATATGACAAAAAGCCAGACCGAGTGACTGCTGTAGCGCTTGGCAAGGAAGAGGGCAGATTAGTTGTGTGGATAGCAGCTAATAAGAGGGTGAGAGACAAGGTTAAGGATTTCCTAGCCACGGTGCTTAATTGGCTTGACAAAATTGCCTGTGGTACTGAGTCAGAAAAGGGCGATTTTCTCAATTTCGTCCTCTGGTTCAACCGGGAAGGAGTCAATAAATACTACGAAAATTTTCTTTATTTTTGGGGGTTGTACTACAAACCCCACAAGTCCACAAGTTTGCAAATCCTTGGCCCCAGAGTACAAGAGACACACATGGCTGATGAGTCGAGGATAGGTCACGATGTACTCCAAGAGTTGGACATCTGGATTCGAAGGACATTCTACAGGGGTGACAAGGGTTTACAGCTAGAGGATATGGCGAATCTAGCGAAGGAGTGTCACCAGGCCCGCAAACGGGGCCGTGATGTGTTTGATATGCTGAGAGAAGCTTCAGGTCAGGGTATTATGTCTCCACATGAGTATGAGCAGCTACATAGCCTGCTGTACAAGATAGGGAAGAATGTTACCCTGTGCCGGAAATTGATTGATGCTAGAATGTCGCTCCCGGAGGACTTCAAGCAAGGTACGGTGGTGAAATCAGTTTATGTTCCTCCCCGGCGTCTTAATGGTATCAAACGGAACTATTCCTTTGATAGCATTTCAACTCATATTTTCCAGAGTGAAAGTGAAAAGCAGGCATTTTACGACCATGTCAATAGGTTTTATGATCCTGACGTGGTATCAGAGCAATTGCAGAACTGTGCCAAGTATCAACCCCCAGTGCACGCAGAGATTCAGCTTATCAGCCACTTTGATACACATAACAGCCGGTTACTGGATGAAAGAAATCCATACATTGGCTGTAGTAAGCCTGCTTGTTATCTGTGCTACAAGTATATTACCGATCATCCCAGACAATGGTTCCGCCCCCCCTCGCATCAAAAACTTTACCATCGTTGGAGTCTACCTGAAATTCGAGGGAACGAGAACCGTGAAGAGTTTTTGGCTACTACAGCAGAAGTGCTTCGACACGATCTACGAGAGGAAATTGCAAAGCAGCAAGGGCCGAGATCAGTATATGACGATTCGACAGCAGGGGCCACTACTGCGTATCCTAAGAGAGAGAAACATGTCAGCTCACAGCCGACTTTTGATAGAGCTCAGAGAGGGAGGATAAGGTAAGGAAAGACCCTCGCTGTTCACGAATGGCTCCCATCTAATTAGTTTAAGCTGCGGTCCGTCTGCGAGCACGATCGGTGTAGGAGTGGAAGGAACTGAGAAGCTCGAAGATGATACCGATGGGGGTGTAAGTCTTCTCTAAACTGGGGGGTCATGAAGATTGTGTATCGGCGATCTAATGCCAAGTATATCTGAGGACGTTCTATCCTTTTGCAGGAGATTTTGTATCAATTCAACCACATGCTAAATTTATTTGAGATTGATCTGGAATCCAGCACCCCCTCTCTACGTGTCATGTTTTGGCCATCAAGCATTCCGAACAGAACAGGACAGAAACCCAGATTTAGCCAGATGAAATTTTGCCCTTCCTTCCCTTGAAAACCACCCTTTCTTCATCTTCTTCATCTCCGCTTTCATCCCATCTCTCAGAACCAGGGTATTTATGATGTTCAGTGCCTGATGGGAGTCTGTAGGGATTGAGACAGTCATTGACTTCGCTTGTTAATGGTTCCTGCGATGTCGTGATGGTCTCAATGGAGGGGCTAGATGACTGCGAACTATCATCGTCTGTCAAGTCGTTACTCCCGGAGCAACGCTCTAATATAAATCTCTCAACATCTCTCCGAGCACGTTCCGTGATCTTGCGAAGTATCTTTCTCTGTTCTTCAAAGCGTGCGCTGCTTTCGGCAGCTTGAATGTCAGGCAAGCGCCAGTGGAGGTCAATATCGTTTGGATCGCAGTTTCGGATGTGGTAGTTGCGTCGATGTGACAGATACTGGCTGCAAAGGTAGCAACAGGGCTTGCTAGTTGCGATATATTTATCATAATTGTCCCAATATTGTAGGCGACTTTTCTTGTCGAAAAAGTCCATAACGCGAAGTTCCGGATGGATTAAAGTGTAAACATTTTCTTGGTAGTATTGAAGCCGTGGAATTAGCTTGCTGGGCGCAGGCACGACTTGCATCAGCCTTTGACTGAGTTCCTTGTAGTTGTCAATGCCAGAACTCATCCGGTGGGCAATATCGTCAAGGACTAGCTTCTTTTTGACTAGGGGGATCTTCATGCGGTCCACAGGAGGTACGTGGCAGACCTGAGTTTCCCTCTGAAGATCCTCTCGTATGAAAATTGCTGACCTGAGCAGCAGCTCACACATTTCCATAGGCATAGCTAAATCTAGCAGCTGTCGATGGAACTCTTCAAACGTTTCTGCGGATTGTTCGCTTTGGCAAATGAAACGCTTGAATATGTCGAACTTCCCATCGCGGGATGCAGTAAAGCACTTGTGGACCAAAGCGGGCATATCTGTTTCGCGCAGCGCCATCCCATCATTACTGACAAAGTTTTGCTTGAACCAAGCTGGAAAGTCACTGCTACAAGCTGGACTGCCTGTAGACTTTACATTAGCCACGGATCCCAGATCACAGGGCAACCATTCTCATACCTTCTGGGTCGTTAGACCAAGCAGCCATTATGGGTATGCAAACCGGCGCAATATGGTCGAAGATCCTGTGATACACCGCGAAGCTGTTGTCACGTTGCCATTTCATCACATAGTTTGAGATATTGCAAATCTCTGCATCCAATGTCGTCGCATTTAAGTCTGCATCCAGAGCTTGTTTGACCATTTCCAGCAACGCGTCCAGAAACCGAACAACCGGGTTACTGACGTCCAGATCTCCCGCGACAGCAATAATCACACTCTCCTGATCGCATCCCGCTGTGATGGCTAAATGCCATTCCTGTTTAAACGCTGCTAATCGAACAAGCGCATTGAGGAAGTCGCGGCGGCGCTGTGAGATTCCACTCATCCCACCAGCATCATCCACTTCGCTGAGTTTATGCTCTGGGATTTGTTCCCGCAGCGCGCATAGCAACGAAAGAGGCTCATAGAGCCGTCGAAGCTCTTTCGGTTTATGACTGACATAGTACGAAAAGGGGGAATGTTGCCTCATGTTTGGTCACGGTCTTAAGTCTTAGAATGAATATATTCGAGACTCGACAAACGTTTTACGTGTGGCTTTATAAGTGTTCCCTGAACTCCCAGTGAGTAGCACTTCCTGCTAAAGATGCTTAACACACTCGTCTACGGCCTGCTTCGGTGATTAGATCGGGTCAAATCCATATGCGAGAATCGAATGAAATCAGCTTCCCAAGAATCCTGCCACGTGTTGACACTTCCCTAACAAGCAACCCACAAAGCAGCGAGCAACCTATCCAAACCTAACTATATTATGTGGAATTTGTCTGGAATGCATGCATGCTACTGCGCCTGATCTTTGCGTATAAAATGGATTAGTTGAATTACCAGACCCTTTAGGCAAAAACACCTAACAACCAGTCCGTATTTCCTACCAAGTTTGATGAGGCTTCAAACTCTGGTTGATACATATTTATCCGCGCAAGTCTTGACTTTTGAGGACATGATTCGTCACTTCTGGCTATAGACTATATGTTTAGGATGTCCCCATTGTGCTCTAAGAATGCCAAACGCATATGAGTGGACGTGAATACGAACACACTTATCCCAGCTGAAGCTGAAGTGACTCACAGTGGAGATTCACTCTTCCCAAGCGCTATTTTATGCATGCCTTTCTCAACCTTTGTAGTGAATGAACCCGCACTTGCATCATGTATGGTTTACACTCGTTGATGACAGGCCATCTGCAACTGATGAACTTGCATGACTCGCTGAGCCACTAGCCCACTGGGTATACTTCAGCTCACTCATGCTCTTAGGATGTGTGAAGGTAATTCATGGTTAGTCAACGCCGATAATGACAACCAAAATAATATGTCGGAACTGGCCCGAACTAAGTCGATGGGGCCATTACACTTACATTACGGTATGAACTGAAGCTACCCGATATATTGACTGTCTGGTAACTCGCCTGTTGGTGCCTCAAAAGCGTTATAGGTTATAGTCGCTCCCCACATTGGCGCTAGGTGACTAGTGTGGATGATGTGGTACTTAGGCAGCAATCCACATACGATACGCATACCTGAGGCACAGGGCTCTACTTGCGTATCTGTCGTGTGGTGGTTGGAAAGGCTGCGAGTCTGTCCGTCGGGAACTACCAGGTCCTGCCACAAGCCACTCAATTTACCGTTACGTTAGCGTATGTCCTGGCCACTGGAGTCCGAGGGGCTGTAAGATGCCATATGTCATACACAGTATGAATTCTAATAATATAATACGCTGCCTGTGATAACGTACTGTCGATCATTGAAAGTCATGCTCGGGCCTCTTAACGCACGTTGGCGCTGGGGCTGCGTAGCATTCGTACCTCGATTTTAATATTCTACTGTCAAGCTACCTGAGCCCCTTTGGAATGATTTTTAAATATTCTAACTTTTTTGGGCCTTCGAGAGGGCAGGACTGTCCTGCTTTGCTACTGGGGAACCGTAATGGAGGGTTGATGTGCTTATCTAGCTCAGATGTAATGCGCAGCAGAGCCCACGGGGAATGAATGGTTGTCGCCCCGCACCTCTAATGAAGGGACAAGTACAGGCAAGGCGAGGTGTACAGCCTTGCAGGCTATTATTTCGTTCGGCAGCCAACGAGAGACAGTTGAAGTTGCTTTCTATACACTGCCAATAAGACACATGGTTGTGCTTAGCCAAGAGTGCGCGTTTTTATGCTCGACCCAAACCAGTAGTCATGCTTCATGAGAGTGTATCCTTACTATCAGCGAAGTAGTAAAGCACTATGTCAGTCATATTAGGCAACCCTTCGGCCAGCTGGGTGACAATCGGCGGTCCGAGCGCTGGCAAGCGGATGCCAGTTTGAAATCGTGCTTGTGATTGACCATTGGGTGCCCTCGATAAGCCGGATCCTAGCCTAGCGAGCTAAACACTTGCGAGTCATGGCCAGTACACGCATACTCTTGGCACTACTGTACTGCGGGGCGCAAAAGGAAAATATGCATAAGCCAACCGGGAGGCATTCTTTCTTGGTTAATTAATGGTGTATTGAACAAGTATGCTCTACATGACGAGAAGGCTCTCCCAGAGTTGAGAAATCCAGACTTATAAAAGGTGTGCCTTTGCTGGAAACCATTGTCACAACAGAATAACATAGCAACATACTATTCTGCCCACCGACCGCTCTTCAAAATGTCTCCTGCGCTGCATCGGACCGACGACTGCTATACTATTACTGGTAAGCTATAGACTATTCTTATTAGAAGTTATAGTGACTGATTGGCACCTAGACTTCGAGATTGGCAAGCGGCTCTTCACGACTCACATGGCTCTACAGTTAGTCGAGGCCTCACCTGAAGGCAGAGAAAGTGCCGATCTGGTGGGTTTCACCCAACTAGTAAAGAGTGACCTACTCAAGCCAGAAATGACTAACAATGCTCTAGACCCAGTTAGACTCCCTAATCACTGCGTACGACTTCGAAGAAGCTATTGCCGCGTTGGTAAAAGCTGGCTTGGATGTTCCCCGGGCGGAACTGGTTTGCGATGAAACCTATCAGGACATCCTTTATAAAATCATCGGGCGTAGCAGACTGGGTGACACGCACTTAAAAGAATCCTTTCCCAAATTGATGGCGGCACTACCGTTGCTGGGTTCACCGACTGGTGGGGTAGACCTCATGGTCGATAACCTCACTCAAGGGGTACAGAATGGGTTTATCACGAGTCCCCAGGACGCAGAGGCTGACATTTGGATGTATACCTGCCGCCTGTGGGAGGATGCTCAAAACAGGGGAGTGGGGGCACCCAAGGTAGTGGAAACACGCATTAGCAACATCCCACCAAAGTTCCGTGTCACCATTCAGTACCGTGGAGTGGAAGCCTTTGGTGAGGGTAGAAACAAGAAAGTAGCGCGCCATATTGCCGCCAAAGGTGCTTGTGGGAAACTCAACATTCGGCTAGGCTAGCCTGGTGAGTTTACAGTCGTGGAAAGTGTGTCTGTCTGTGACCCCGTTGTTCATGAAAATGCAGCAGTAGTTAGTTGGTATAATCTAAGGCTCAATTGCCTCATAAAACGATTGGTAGACTATTGGTTTCGAACCATGTGGGCGTTTTTCAGAACTGCCTTCTAAAGGTCCGTACGCCCAATGCACACATAGCCCTAGCCCGGCTAGAAGCCTCAGAGCTTTCAGGTGCTTGGAATTTCACATTACCCTTGTGAGGAATGTCAATAGATCCTCAGCATTGCCTCCTCAATAGCATTTGAATCTTGGGTTTGTACAAGACAATAGGTCAGATTACACTTAATACCGACAGATACCAACTACGAAATTTGCAACCTATAATACATATCAAGAGACAAATATAGATCCAAGTCTGATTCCATTCATGGTACTTGAGTGTTTCTTGGAATGAGCAATGTGTAGGAGATGGACGTTCACATCTGCTGGTTGAATAAGTACACTATGGTGTCTTTGATATTCCACAACAAACTTCTGAAAGTAATCAATAGTTACGCTATATTTTATTAGCATGCGCCGCCTTTCCTTCTTGTCTATCCTGCCGAGAATTCTGAGCTTGTGTAGCAGGTGGGTCTTTGGGATGGTCGGTCACCACATCGTGCGATATGAAATGCTCAAGAAGTGGCAGAATTCCTAGTTTCTCGGCTAGAGCCTCACATTCCTGCAAGCTAGCGGAAGAGTCGACATATATCGCACCAAAAACACTTTGGACAATGTCAGAGAGTACTTTGATATCCCTAAAGACACTTAAGCGTGCCCAGGGATATATTCGTTTTTCCCACAGGTCCCCCTTGATGATGTGTAGGTGACTAGTGAAATTTTGCGTAAGGCCAGATAGCTTGCCAGAGAGTGTCTCGCTTTGTGAGCGTATAAAATTATAAACAGCCACTCGGTGACTACTCCGGATGACACCCGGGATGCCCTTACTATCAACCTCGATAGTATCGTGCTCCTTCTCCCGATAGAATGTGAGACAGACAAAGGCGAGAAACATATTGTTGGTCACAGCCGATTTCAAAGAGTGCAGTCTTTTAGAGCCCATCAATCTATCGTGTCGATGTAAGTACGTGACAACTAGCATGTCGATGACCGCAACTCCAAGAAACGACAGACGCCGATAGGATGTTGTCCCGTAGAGCCCTACACAGGAAGGGTGTGTCATTGATTCTATTGCCAGACTCTTATCAGAAAAGGTGTATCCAAGCAGATCTTCTAGATCTGCGATGGTTGTTGCACCCAAGGTCTTGGGTGGCCGAGACTTGGAATATGTGCCATCATGGAGAGATATTGTGGTCCAAATCTTGATCTTAGGGATCATTGCTGCTACGCATATGATAGCTTGATCCAATCCGTTGTCTAGGAAGGCAGCGCCTACCAAGGCCTTGGCCATATCAGCAACAGTAGCGGCACCAACATGTCTCTGCCTAGCTTGAGTACTCTTTGACAATGTTTTTAGCACGAAAGCTGGCCGCCACCGTTTTCCGTTAAACCGTGTGGTCAAGAGATAGTGCCCAAAGCCAGAATGACACACAGCCGCTGCAAGCCCTGCATCGGACACAATGGAATCCTTCATGCCGGTTAAAAGGCCCTCGTGCCACAAAGTATGGTGCAAAAATAGCTGTCTCGTTATGAGAAACTTTGCGATCACATCCCCGATAAACGCCATAGAGCGAAACTCGGACCGATGCACTGTATCGGCCGGGCTGATAGCAATGGATAGCAAGTCCATTCGTTCAAAAGGGGCTGCTTGGGGGCCTGAAAAGATTTCTTGCTTTAATTTTTCCGCGATTAGATATACGCCAATCCGGTGAATTATGCTTGGAGCCAACAAAGCAGCTTCGGCATAGACGGACGGAAGTCGATCGACCAAATAATCTTCAGCTGCCAACTCGTCCAGCTCCTGTTCAACGAGAATTGTGGATTTATGCTTCTCTGTCCGTGTAGCTGTTACCGTCTTTGGATTATGGAGAAAGTTGCGGCGTCTGGTCAAGCGATGTATCTTGCCTCTGATTGCTAGGCTGCCCGCATCGCTATGAGGGCCCCGGCACACGTGCTCTTCTAGATCTTCAATAAAAAGGGGACGACAGGCCTCGGTGACATGGCGCAAGAGGCCAAGCGAACCAGGCAGAGCTCGGCGTTTCTGTAAGCACGCAGCGAGGCTCGTCCTTCCGGAATGACTCTCAAGAAATTCAGACATCGCAACGTTATCCCTATCTGGGACAAGGATATGAACGTAGTCGATGTTTGTTTGAGCTTCGTGGCCTCCATATACGGACTGTAGAATTAAATGTGTCACATGTTGACATATTGAGATATCCGTGGTAATTGCTCTACCCGAGCTGACAACTGCCGTATACTCCGTGTCGGAATCCACAAATAACGGAATACAAACTTCTATCCTCAGTGGGACTGAGAGAATCATAAAGAGTTTAATGTCCTCTTTCTGTGGTCGTACAATGCGAAGTTCGTGGCAAAAGAGCTCCCGTCCAAGAGACCAAAGCAAAGCAGCATCATGCCAAGGGTCTAGCTGCTCAGGGATCAGGTAGTGCGACCTTGGTACTGGTCCTTTTTCAAGAATGTCTGACAGTCGCAAGGGGAGAAGGTACTCATTGACGAGTCCGGCATGGTACAGGGCCTTGTATGCTTGGAGGGCTGCATCTTCCTTTGCCCACCTTTTCCTTGTCCATTTCTTGTGACTCTCAAATGTGTGAAGGGATGGATCAAGGTTGCTCGGCAGTCTGACAATTGCCTGTACCTGGCCGCACTCGTCGGTCTCGCAGCTAAATACAGGGCTATTACTCACACATGGCTGAGCTGGTAGTTCCGAGCAGAACCTATACAGGTGGCTAATGGCATTTCCCATGGTCATTTGAGCACTATATGGTCAGATCAACAGGCGCAGATTAGAGGGAGAAGCACACACCCTGTAGAAGTACTGAAAGCCAATGAGCCTGTCAGCTGTTCATCGTTTTTCAAGTCATCTGGTAGTACTGTTCTTTCCTCATCCTGAAGCCTTCTGAGCAGCTCACTTTCCCGAAGTTGCACTGATTTCACATCATTTAAATCCTCTTCATTCTGAAGGATAATGATAAATTTGGACTGCTGTCTTCGTGCGCGCCCACGTCGCTGAATGAACGACTTTAAATTCAAGGAACAGTTGAAGTTCAGGACTGTGTTGCATGCTGGTATATCTATTCCTTCCTCTAGGGCGTCGGTCGTTATGATCAGGTCTATCAATCCATCCTGAAACTTCTCGAGCGTTTCCATTTGGCTTCTAATATCGTGAACATCCCCGAGCTTGGTTTGTCTTCTGTAAATCTGAGACATACCCACAAATGTCCCACAACGGAAGCGTTCGCGTGTTCCTGCGTAATTTTCGATGAGCCATTTCAATGCAAGTACGGTTGCTCGTTGTGAGACAAATATCAACGCACGGAATCCTTTCCTATGTTCCTCGATGAGAGAATCAAGCAAACATTGACTCATAGGCGAGATATTATCAGGGTGAGCCAGCCCGCCGTATTGGTCTATATTGCCTAGTTCACAAAGCATTTCCATGACGTATTCTTTTTCAAGGCTTGGAGTGTTTGTTTTTTCGGCGTTCCTTCGCATGTCTTTTTTGAACTCATGGATTGAAGTTAGAATGTAGTTCGTAGCGGTCCAAGGTCCCAGTTCCCAGTTTATTGCTTCCGCTTGGTTGACAAAGCGACTAAGTTGCTTTTTTGCCTTTGTCAAACCTCTCCTTTGTTCATGACGTGATTCTAGAAGCTCGTGTAGCTTTTCTAGTATCCGTAACCCGTTTGGACTTATCCGTGAGCGACAGATTGATACTCGTGGCACAATCAATGGTTGGTTCGTAAAGCGTAACAGCTGCGCATAGAACTGGCGCGGCATTCTGCATGAGCTGTGTAGCCTTTTTTCGATGTCCCTTTTGTATCTTTGTCAGGCCTTGATCTCGATCCTGCTGATCAATGGTAGATGTATACATACTCTAAGGTAGAAAGATCTGACAAGATCGGAGATGCAGTGAGACCCAATATGGTTGGTTTCTGTTGATCCGGGACCTGTGATTGACTATGATAGTACTCGCTCATTATTTTACTGGCAGGATGGTTGTCGGTGCAATGATGAGCTGGTTGGTCTGTCAGCTATGGCATCACATAGGGCGCACTGTCTTTCTCTCTCCAGAACTTGCCTTCATCAAAGATAATCAAAGATAAACGGGCCATAGTTATAAATTTATGAACCAGCGCATCATACAGAACCTGATAGGTCGAGATTGCAATCTTCACATTGGCCAGGGCAACGTTCCACGTTTCAACAGTATCCCAATGATCGACGTTATCGTTACTAGTAAATGACCTACACCACATGGGAGGGAAATGGGCAGCCATAGTACGAACATGCTGTTTGCATAACGCGACTGTTGGGCATAAGAACCAGATAAGCTGCTGGTGGTTAGTTATACTATGTATATAGCGGATACGAACTACTTGCCTTGTCTGAGCTTCCCCGGTCTATCTCTGCGAGGATGCGGTGTACAGCACTTGGTCAAGCTTCAGCACCTAAAACTCAACGAAAAACGGAGATGTGCCTTACATTTGCGTTTTCCCGGTTCCTGTGGGCATCTTTGATACTATATTATTTCTTTTTTCTACCTGGGATTCTGGACCTAGAGAACAAAACAAGAGTGACCCTACTCACCACTACAATCAAATTTCCTTCTAAACTCTTATTCACCATTTCCACTTGATAGTCCCTGATTTGAAATTGCTTGTCATCTACATCGCGTGGGATGTAGCCCTGGGTATCATGCAGATTTGATGCCATGTCGGAATTTGTAACAGACTGTATCGGTAGTCGTGAGAGATGATTCCAACGACTGCCATCACGGCACCGTGCCCATGTATTCATATATGATGCAATTGGTCTCATAGGGAGCAATACCTGTAGACAGCCATACCATCCAGAACGCTCTATGTCACGCGTGGAAGTTAGCTATGCATTTGCTGCCCGAAATCCATTTTACTAGAGTGGACTGATATTGGTTGCCTCGCTTTGAACACGTAGCCAGCATGAAGTCAGGCTGCGATGTTCAGCCTTGCATCGATCAAGCGAAAACCAACAAATGATTGTTGAACCTACCCCTCCAATTAATTTCTTTCCACCTGGCCATGAGTAGTTCTGTTAATTTACACGAAAAGATGAACGAGGAAGAGGGGGAGGAAGAAGAGTATTTCGGACTCTAGTCATAAGGCTAGATTAAGCGGACTTATTAGTCGGTGTTGTACCATAAGGACAATACGGACTCAAAAGTACCAGCAGTAGGCGATAATAGCCGAGGTTCGCAGAGATCTTATTCCCACAACCTTTGGGACACTGACACGCGGCCGCTGAGATTCAAAATTTATAATCTACGTACTAACGGCACTTGGTTCAAGCCTCGTTGTTATTGAACTTCACCAAAGCAACGAGCAAAAGAGGGCAAGATCTCTCTTCTAGAGGGTCTGGTCAAGGATAGATAAGCTGAGAAACCGAACGAGTCTCACGATAGCCCATGAGGCTTAGTATCTGGATAAAGCTGGCCCAGGCTTCCAAAAGGTAGAACCGTATGCCTTTCTTGAATGGATATCATTATTCTCTTTCAGCCACTGCATCACAAGAGCCTGGGTGTGCACTCTACTTCGGGGAGCCCTCGGCAGATCAGGTGTCAAGGGAAAGGACCTCTATGTTTAAAATAGCAACAAGACTGGATTGGATAATCTAGACTTTCTACTTTCCTGATTGGGTACAGGTCGTGTATCCATGCTTCTTTTTGTAATGCCTTTGTAGATTGTCCTTCCGCGTGAAAGTTGTGGAACAAACGCCACAGTAGAACGGCCCCTCAATCTTCCATCGATGCCTAGCCCACATACTGTGGGCTACCACTGCGTGCCGACGAAGATCCTTTTGCTCCGCAGCTCTGAAGTCACACTGAGGATACAGACATTGGAGTGGTTTCTCGTGGATCCTCATATGCCTCCTGTTATCGTCAGAAAAGGTACCGAAGATGCAAATGACACAAGATCTTACGTGAGGTGAGCCCTCAGAGTGAAGCCACGCCGGTTTCGACATTTTGGATAACTGCAACGATAAATCTGTTCTGCTTTGGCGTTGGAATAATCGTACAAAGGCATGCTGGCTTCTGCAATATCCAGATCACCCCTTGGCATCGTCATTGGGGAAGCTGTCTCGTGGTTTATCAAGTTCGGTATCTCACCAGCTGTCCCTGAACCAACGGCTTCCAAAGTACCCACCATGTCAAACCAGGTCTTGGACGACAGAGTACTCTAAAGAGACCCATAGGCGTCGTCAGGGCCACTAATGACAGGAGATTGGTAGTAGATTGGGAATTGGTCCGGGGTTGGACAAAGGTATGGCGGTTGTTCCAGCGTTGTGCTAGATATATCTGGTTGCAATTCAAGGTTTGCGAACGCAACGCAGTCTTCAGCTGTCACGGGGTCGTTTACCGAGAGAGTCATGTCCGGATACCAAGTGGTGCGGTCATCGTCACTAAGCAGTTGTGATTCCATGGCTAAACTCATGCACGGGTGGGAGAATAGGGCCGAGAATATTACTTCATAGCCGAAACTGTCGAAGGTTACTGACTGTTATTTCTCCCACACTGGGTTGTGGTTTACGGTAGGAAATGGGAAGATAAATACTCACCAGATCGAGGGTGCCAGCTCCCACTAGGTCAAAAATTAGTGCCACGGTCCGTGTGGGGGTGGCTCTGGTTTTTTGGGTTGTCACAAGTTAACATTCAGCATCATGTATTTATGCAACCCCAGTGAAAGCGAACCCCATCGCCACGTCAGCGTCTTGTGACTTTTAAATTGATCCAGCATACAATACCTGGAATAGTACTCTTTACAGACCGGCATCTGGCTAAAGAGGGCGTGCAGCAGACACATCACATATTTTATCACCTGAGCATGTAACCCGTCCCCTGCAGGGCATGGCCGACGTATAGTTACCGGGAGTGACCAAACTGCAACCTCTGCTGCACGTTATTGTCGGTTGGGCCGGACTTAACACGAAAAGAGTAAAAGTTTGCTAGGAAGTAATCCCGTAAATCTTCCAACACTTGTCGTATATGCTACCGTTGCTATAATTCCCGGTAACTGTCTTTATCAAATTGAGACAAACTCCTGGAAATCCTTTGTTTTTTTTTTTTTTTTCTTTTTCGGTGAAGCCCTGAGGTCATTGGCTCTGTAAACATAGCAGGCAAGCTGGAGAATATATTTTTTGTTTTAAAATGTAACAGTCATCCTGGTAACAACAGACCTGCTATTAGAAAGGAGGAGCCCCTGTGTATCTCAGGCATTATGACGCTAGATATGTAAATTTTAGCACTCCAACTAGTCATCTGCCTCAGCTTCATCTCCCCCAATCCTACGTTATAAGGTGGGATTTCATACGTCACCCTACAAATGAGATCTCTTGAAGTCCACACAATGATTTAGAGACATGTTCAATTTTCCTAAGAGATGCTTCTGGTTCTAAATTAATACGCAAAGACAAAGATTTTGCCTACATGGCAGTGTAGAGTTGGATAGCATAGAATATCCATAGCCAGCGTGACGGAAGAGAGAAGCTCGTCATCACGAGCGGTTTGGTTTGACGGTGGTAATGAGGAGGCTTGTAAGAATAACTCCAAGGAGGTCTAGCCTATGATGTTATCTGGATCTAGGAAAATGATCTAGAAAAGATCATGCTGCTCCTTCCGCGTGCACGACATTGACTCAGGTATAAAACAAGCCATGTGGTGTAGGAACGTTGGTCGGCGAAGAGTCCGACAAAACCGTTACGTGGCCAGAGACTAGTTTGATACTTGGTTGAAACATTCGCTCAACCGTAGTCGATCGTGGTGATGGCATCGCAACGCATTGCAAAATGGAAATGAGCAAGAAGGCGACAGCTGCTTTCCTCGTTGTGACTCTCCACTAAACCGCTGACCGTCAATTTAGGAGAGGAAGGATGGTACGTAAATCCTTCGGTTGCTCTAATATGTAGCTGGGTTCGATTGTCTCGAGCTTGAAGGGAGGATAAAAGTCTTGAGATTCATAAAGCATCGTCCCTATAATTTCCCCAGCTGCCTTGCTCAATTCCCGCAAATAGTCACCCTGGGAGTGATCGAGAATGGAAACAATTTGCGGGAAGGTGGATTCCGGCACCTTTAAGAGCCTGATAGCTCGTTAGTTAGGACTTCAGCTTTCACATCCATGACTTACATATTATCTGATAATTCCAGACCTGGCTGGTGGGATTGTTCAGGGTATGGTATCAGTGCAAGAATGCCTTTGCCGAAACGCTCCTGTAAGACGTGAAATCTCCGTGCAAGTAACCGAAGGTTGCTAACATCCTTGTATCCTTTCTTCCACTCTAAAGATTCCCGTTTGACATCAGGAAGCACTTGCTTCATCATCGCTTTTGTTAGTTCTGATTCAGCATTGTTGCGGGGATTTCCAGCCCGTGTTATACCCGAAACGTTATAGCCCTGGGTTACAACGAACCCTGAGAGTGACGGGGTCTCGCATCCACCACACTCTTCAAATAAGTAAGAGATTTGATACCTTCGAAATAAATTCAGACCTGTGATTTGCTGATTTGTAAGAGAGATATTGCTATATGTCTGTGCCTTCGATGAGTTGCTAGAGATCTGCAAATAAGACAGGTCTGCCCTCCCTCGCCAGGTTCGAATTGCCTCTTGAATGACAAGGACTGACTGTGCGCTGCCAGAGCCTAAGATTAGTCGTTCTAAGACATCCTTCGATAGCTTTGTATCTGCGCTCTCAATGGCTCTCGCAATGTCTGTGGTAAAGTACGATTCCTGCGGAGTTTGGAGGGAATTACGTTGGCATTTTTTGGTTTCTTGCGCGAGGAAGGATTCCATCAGACTATCCTTCTGTCGTCGGCATTGCTTTGCCTTTCTCTGGTCATCCCCACTCTTACCGAATGAGATATCCACTGATCGTTTGCGGTCACGCTTTTGTACTGCATTTGGCACATTACTCCCTCTTTGGACACTGCTGAAAGCTGGGGGCATGGGATGACCATTCGCGCACTCGATCTCGTACAGACTTGAGTTGTGGCGACACTCTATGCTCATGGCTTCGAGTATATCTGTCGTCGTAGCACGCTCATCGCCATTCTCAGGCAGTGCTACAGGCACATGCGTATCCATATTCATGCTAACATACAGCCATGAGGGATCCACCCCATTGTCCTCTGGTATGAAAAACCTATAATACTCTTTTGTCAGTCGTGGTTCAACCAAGATCTGTCAGTATATTCGTACCCTATATACTCCAATATCTGCAACGTCCGAGGATAGCTTCTCCCACAGTCGAGATGTGCACATGCAATAATCGCTGCCAAGGCCTTTCCGACAATAATATGGCCCTCTTCAACGGGCCGCGGGTTGGATACAATCATTCTATCAAGGGTTGTGCGTTGGGCAACGTAGGCAAGGTGAGCGTATGTACACAGCTTATCCTTTCTTTCGGCAACGTCGCCTTTTTTTACTGTGAGATTGATCATCACTCCAGGAGCTTCGAGGTCCTTACTTAATTGAATGTTCTGTTCATAAGCATTAAACGAAAGGCATGAACGAATCACGTCAATACCAAAATCTGCCAGCCCTTCCCCGCCTACCCCAGGCGTCATAAGAGCTTTGGAAAGGCAGGTCGGTGGCTCAAATTGATAGCCCAGAATACATGCGACCTGTGCAATTTTGCTGTCGATGCTCATCTTGAGACCAATCGCATAGATGCTACTCCACAAAGAGAAAGAGTTTTGATCATAGATATATGGTAGGATGTTTTCTCTGGGAATGACTGAAGTATATATACATCCGCTACCCCTCCGAATTATTATTTTACTGACTTAAATCGCATAGCCTTGCTTTCCCATTGTGCATACATCTTCCAATGTGCTAAGTGTCCCAGGAATCTTTGGCCAGAGGTCTACACTCAGTGACAAGACGGCCAGCTAAGCATCCTATGCTCGGATTCTGTCACGTTGCCGGTGTCCTATACAAGCCCCATTAGCTGCGGGGAGGTTCCGGAAGCAGTTAGGGTTACTGTGCATATTGACAAGCTTGCTACAGCGCCCCACCCCCAAAACACAGTGGGGTTCTATTTTCTTGTTAATCCTAGATAAACGAGACATTTTGCCGAAGTCCTTCACCAATACCACTAATCTATCTTTTCATCATTACTGTGGATCGAGGAGCGGGTGCCCGGGCTCTAGCCAGATACTATTAACAGAAATTAATTTTCGTAAGAACGGATGTTATAAAAATTAAGGTGCATGGATCCTACATGAGCCAATTGATAGGTAGTCGTAGTTAGGAATATGATAATATTATTACGTAGATCCACTAGATCTAGGATGGAAGAAAATCTTTTTTTTCCGGGCGATAACGCAAAATTTAGGCTACATTTAGGAGCCACTGGAGAGAATTTTGTTCACACGTGGTTGCAGATAACTCATTTTATTGACACATATTACATGGGAGGCCCACTATGCCGGAGGCCCAATATGCGGGAGGCCCATTATGCGGGAGGCCCATTATGCGGGAGGTCCATCATGCGAGAGGCCCATTATGCGGGAGGTCCATCATGCAGGAGGCCCATTATGCGAGAGGTCCATTATGCGAGAGGCCCATTATGCGAGAAGCCCATTATGCCGGAGGCCCATCATGCCGGAGGCCCATTATGCGAGAGGTCCATTATGCGAGAGGCCCATTATGCGAGAAGCCCATTATGCCGGAGGCCCATTATGCGAGAGTTGGACGCGGTCGAAGGCAGGCTGTTATTGTTTAGCTTCGCCAGTCTACCCTACTCGAAACTTTAGTCGGTGAGGAGCGTGTTTTATGATAACGTTGTCCTGTGAACATTAGAAATTTTGTGAAAAGGTCAACTGTTATGAGGAGAAATGGAGTAGGCTGTTCTAGGTACCTTATGACTAATCATACTGGTGACTGAGAGATACAGAAGTGGGCGATGGAGTTAATGCTGTCAAAAAAAAAATTATCGACAATGTGGAATACAGGTGGAGGATACGCATGCATGTATATCTATAAATCCTTCAACCATTGACTTACTGACTCTGCGGATTCTGCTTCCTATCCCGAGTTCGGGTCGGGCTCAGTGGGGGAACCCATGCCACTCTAGACTCGGCTTGCGACTGATCTCTATATTTTTTAGGTCCGTTGTTATCTAAACAGTATAAATAGAGCCTCAGAGCTATCCAGATGGAATTGATGACCTCTTTCTTCTCTATCAATCATCTCCTTATGAAACCTGGAAAAGACTTCAGAGAAGGCCGAGTAAGGGGATTGGTTATCATTGTTCGCCCATGATAACTAGTAGAGCTTGTAGGTAAAATAGACTTACTTTACTCCTGTATCTTGAGATTATTATGAAGTAATGTTTAATCTCATGTATTATTTTGTGCTCAGGGGTATTCAATGATATGGCAATATTGATTTGTATGAAAGTAGGGTTGCTACTGTATAAATATGAATCTAAGGGTACAGTTTTAAGTCATGTGTATTGAGTAACGTATAATAGGAAATTTAAAGTGATACCCTACTACTATTAATCTATAGTAATCACTAATAATGTAATACCATAGAATAGTATACTATAAGACCCTACTCCTGTGTTGTATAGATAATTAAGAACTTAAGACTGTAAGTATATGGTACCTATGGCCTAATGCAAAACACCAATGTTTCAGCAAAATCGCAGGTTTGGCTGAAAGCTAGTTCTAGTCCGCCGTAACCTATTGTGAACTAAACTGACAAAACATATCAAAATTAATTTCATATTTTCGCACGTCCATCCAACATGATATTCAAACCCCTAAGATAGAGATAGCCTTTGGTGTACGAAATCCAAGGTCGTAGTGTGTATAACTGAGGAGGACTACAGACTCAGGTGCTCAGATCAGTTCAGTGGACACATTGGACTTGGAAAACTACAGCTTCGGATTGGCGGGCTGCCCTTCAGACATGCTGATGACCACCTTAAGAGATCCATATTTGGAAGGTGTCTGGAACGTCTCATAGGCCTTGTGTATCTGATCAAACGAGAAATCTGTTGCATATGTCAGCTGAGAGCCACCCAGGATAAATATAATGGCCATACTGTGTGAAACCAGGAAATGAGGGCTAATCTTGCCCGATTCGACAATTTTCAGTAAATCAGGGGTTGTGCACGCATCGACCAGCCGAGTTCTGATACCTATTCATAGTTTAGTGAGAACCACAGGAAATGGTAGGCAAAATAGACCTACAGATATTGCGATGCCAGAGGTCCTCCAAATGCAAATCGCAGGGTGTCCCAAACACTCCCAAACTGGCTATCGTCCCCCCAGGACCTACTAACGCCTGAGCGAGCTCAAAGGAATCAGTGCTCCCCACTGCTTCGATCACCACGTCGAATCCATGTTTGTTCGTCACTGCGAGCGCAGCGGTGACCGCGTCCGCCTGGCCCCGGAGCACGCTGATCGCATGATCTGCACCCATCTCCTTTGCAGTATCAAGCCTGGGCTGTCCTCTACCGATTACGGCGGTCATGGACGGCCCGAAAAGATTCCTCGCCATCTGAAGCGCCATCAGCCCGATTGGACCCGTACCGATGATAGCAACGGTTGACCCGGGCTGGATCTGACCATTGAGAATGCCGCATTCGTATGCAGTGGGAAGAACGTCAGACAATGTGACGGCCACTTTAGGGTCGAGGCCGTTCGGGAGCGCATGCAGCGAGAACGATGCGTGGGGAATCCGCACGTACTCTGCCTGTGTACCGTCGATGGTGTTACCCAGGATCCAGCCGCCCGATGTACATTGTGAGGGCATTCTCTTGCGACAGAAATTGCAGGAGCCACAAGACGTGATGCAGGAAATTAGGACTGGTTGTCCAACAGAAAAGCGTGTAACACCGGTACCCAATGATTCAATTATTCCAACGCCTTCGTGGCCAAGGATACGTCCTGGTGTGCATGTCTGAACGTGGCCTTGTAGAATATGCAGGTCTGTTCCGCAGATGGTGGTGTGTTGGACCTTGACAATGGCGTCAGTGGACTCTAGGAGGGATGGCTTTGGACGTTCCTCCACCGAGATGGTGTCCTTTCCAGTGTAAACAACTGCTTTCATGATTCCAAGTACTTGGCTTCACCTTGGTATAGGTATTTAATGCTGGTATCAAATGCGAACAAATAAAGACAGCTCCCTGTGCGATCTTAGCACGCCTTTCAATGGGAGACTTTCAGTACATTGCTCTCTCCTCGTAGAAAATGCCAACTTTTATAATGAGGGGGGTCAGGGTACCGCAGCTGAACAGATCAATCCTTCAGCGAGCTATTGACGCCCGCATCACTACCCTTAATATCTATCATCACTATCATTGGGTCGCATTGCCGCACTTGCGAGCCCACGCCGCGCGCGGAATGATCTAGACATCTCGAGTCTAGATCACTGGGTGTTCACCGGCGCAAAGGGGGTAGCGATAGCCGATCAATGAATGGCTGTCAGATATCAAAAAAAGGCCTGGTGCAACATCATGCAGCTTACGATTGCGCTAAGGCGGTAGTCTCTCCGTGATCCCAGTCGGTTTTCATGGAAGTCACTTAATGCAGCTACTAGACCCAAGCTAATCTCCAATAGGGCAAAGTCCTCATCGCCGCAACAAAAATTGCGCATCGTCACATGAACATCTGCACGTGCCTCTAAAGACACACAGGTAGCAAAACACACAATTGCTTTCGGTGCAGAGGGATTTCCCATACTTTATTCTCTGCAGCAGTCATGTCTCTAGCTTCAACATGACAGGTCTTGGCGTTTGTAATTGTCTACCAGTTCACTGGGCTCGGAGTTATTCCAGAACTGGATCCCTGCGGTGTTATTCCAACTCATTATGTCTCGTGAAGATCTGATGGAGCTTGTGGACTTTATCTATCAAGAAAATAGAGCAACTGATCTTCCGTAGTTTGGAAATATATTCGAGACAACACGGCGAGGTGAACAGTCTCCGTTCAGTTCTAACTTCTGTTTACTTCTAGCATGACCATGGCATTGCGAAGTGGCCACAAATTTGAAGAAAAGGATCCCTTGTAACTGTCAGTTACCGACATATTTGACTTATTCTTCCCCGTTGTCACGATTTTCCATGTATGCAAGACCTCGAATCTCTAAACTCGCTACTGAAACAATCTGCTTCTCCTGCAATTGAGTCTGCACACCTCATTACGGAAGTACCACAGCAAGAAGAATATCACAATCCAGTTAACATTCACGGCTTTGGATATGTCTCAATAATCTGCGGCGTCGACAACATTATAAGGGACATAGCCTCGATATATTATTAGCACAGGCTATGACACTTCGTTTATCAGTACTTACCATAGCTGGTACCTGATTTCGCCGCCAATCTCAACGATGACGCCATCAGAGAGTCACATTTGACCATAAGCTTGATGGATACTAGAAGACTGGTTCTGAGGAGACGAATAGTACACCGAGCCGGCATGGGAACTAGGGCAAGTGCATCCAGTCTTTGGGGCTAATAATCTCCCAAACGTGAAGTTTCGCTCGTGGATAAGCCGTGATAACAGTCGAATCTCATGAACAAGGGAGTTGACCGCGTTAGTATTCTCTCGGAGAGCAGCTAAGAGCTGTTTGTTTGTAGTCGTGTCTGGACCGAGAGAGAGACTTGTCGGGCATGTTGATCGACATATATTCGCAGATGGAGGGCCATATCCGAAGACGTGTAATAGTCGACGGTTGCAGAGTGATAGGCAAGCTTGGTCACATGGAGTAAGATAGTCCGCTATCATATACAGTAGCTCGGCTGGTAAGTTGGCTAAATTAGAGCATGCGAAGCTTGGTGGCTTGATCTGTGTAGATCGGAGATGCAAGTTGGGTAGCACCCAAGCGAGAAAATCCGTGGCGATCCCCATTTTACTTAGGCCCAATGTGAGAAATAAGATGAATAGGGCGAGTATTAGAGACGAGAGGGGGTTATATGCGGGTAATAGAGACGTCACCATCATTTGGCTACCGTGGGATTCCGTAACATTCATCCTTCGACGTAGATCACCAGACGCTCTCCAACACCCTACTCTGGGGCACTCTCCCTCTCTTTACAATAAAAATATTTGTTGCATGTCCTCCGACTTGTGAGATGAATAAAATTTTTTTTGCAGGTAGTAATGGAGGTTCAGTAGATGCTGGGTTAGGGCAATGTAGGGTTAAATTGGATTTGGTATAGTGTGCTTAAATACCACGGTTTCAGAGTACGTGCTGCACACAGTTACTTTTTTTTTTTTTTTTTTTTTGGGCTCTCACAATTTGACGCATCAGATGGTACATATGCAGAGGCGTTAGGAGGCTACTAGTGAAATGGATGCCGTCGGTTACAGAGAGCTTCTACGAAGCTGTTATTTTTTATAAGGAGATATAAAGTGCCAAGTGAATGATGAAACTTGAATTTGCTCACTGAGCAGAGTGGTAAACCCTATTAAAGCAGTAACATACATAACTGTGAAAGGAGATCCTGTCTCAAATATGTACACAGTACATCTGAAAATATATGACATCTAACAAATACCGTGAGTCTTGCCATGCTTACCCTGCAGGGAGTGCGTCTCTCCCTTGTAGTGAGGGTGGTTGTGCTTGGACTTGTGAGAGTGGGTAGCGTGTGTGCGGACGTGGCTGGTTCAGTCAGTCTCAGTTGCCAACAAATAAAAGAAAATGCATAAAGGTTCCTTACTGGGTGTACTTCTCCAACATGGCCTTGTCCATGTCACCCAACGTCTTCAAGCCCAACTTGATATCACTAAGCAGCGAGTCACACCGGCTCTTCGTGAAATCCTCGCGGACAACCACACGCATCAGCTTCAGGTTGTTGCTGTTGGGCGCCATCGTGTACGCAGGGACAATCCAACCACGTTCACGCAGCTGGTGTGCCAGGGCAAACTCGTCGAAATGACCCTCCCGCTCAGCGGGCAGTCTGAAAGCGACCAAGGGGAGACCGTGGCCGCGACGCTGGCTCATGATAATGAAGCCCATCTTCTCAAGCTCTTGGGCCAAAAAGTCCGCAATGACAGTAATGTTGGTCATGATGGAGCGGTAGCCACGCTTGCCGAGTCGGATCATCTGGTAATACTGACCGATGACCTGAGATGCACCCTTGGAGAAGTTCAGGGTAAAACTGGCCTGTTCAGCTCCGAGGTAGTTGATGTTGAAAATCAGATCCTTGGGGAGATATTCCGGGGACCGCCAGACGACCCAACCCACACCGGGGTAAACCAGACCATACTTGTGGCCAGACACGTTGATCGAAACAACCTTTTCGAGGCGGAAATCCCATTCCAACTTAGGGTTGATGAAAGGAGCGACGAAGCCACCGCTAGCGGCGTCAACATGGATGGGAACATCGATGTTGCGCTCGATCAGGAGGTCATTGATTGCCTTGACGTCTTCATACTCACCGGTGTAGGTGGTACCGAGGATAGCGCAGATACCGATAGTGTTCTCGTCAACTAGGTCAACCGCTTGCTGTGGATCAATCACATAACGGTCCTCAGTGCAGTACACATATCGCTCCTCGACGTCAAAGTACCGTGCGGCCTTCTCCCAGCACACCTGTACAGCGCTGTTCATGACGATATTAGGGCGAGAGCAGTCCTTGCCTTCAGCCTTGCGCTTGTTTTGCCAACGGCGCTTCATAGCCAGGGTACCCAGCATGATGGCCTCGGACGATCCGATCGTTGAGGTGCCCATCGGGTGCTCATCTTCGCTGTTAACAGGCGCATTGAACAGACGCGCAATCATGTTGACGCAGCGGTTCTGGATCTCCGCTGACTGAGGATACTCCTCGTAATCGATGAAGTTCTTACTGAACGATTCAGTCATGAGCTTTTCGGCTTCATCTTCCTGCTACGATTAGCCTGGGGCCTCCTAATCATCTCGGTAGATTAAATTATTACCATATAGGTCGTGACAAAACTCGCCAAGCTATGTTTGGTTAGTATCAAGAGCATAAATCCACGGAGGCGAGAAATTAAAGCCTACTTGAGCATTGGGTTTCCATCGAGACTCAGCTCGTCCTTGATCATGCGATAGGCGACCTCCCTGGGCATCTCCCGCTCCGGCATCTCTGTTTGAGGCAGCTGTTCTGTTGCGAACCGTGTCCCATAGACGCTAGAGTAGAATCCATCTTCCTCGGTGTTCTCCAATTGAATGGAGTCAACACGCTTGATGGTGTCGTTGAGATCACCGTTGCGGTGGACTTGAGCGAGGTGGACCATGATTTCGGTAGATTATGCCAAATATGTTAGATAAGGAATTCACCAGGAATATAGGAGCGAGAATAGGAAACGAGGGGCAGGAAGGCGCGCTTTTAGCACTCAGCGAGCGGCACGATCCGAGGTCAGTCAGGCAACCTATTCAGGAGGAGGGGCAACCACGATGACTGGCTATTGTTCCACAGCCGATGTTTAGGCCTTCGCTAGCCCTGCAAGCGGCGATCAGTAGCCATACAGATCGCTCGCCTGGACGGTCCGCGGCCATCCTGGGTTACGCAGTTTTCAGCTCGTGGCGCAGCAAGTGGGTGAGGAGATCACCACGTTGGTGGGCGAATCGCGAAGGCTGGCTCAGGGGTCCGATTATTCAAAGCTTACTCGGAGTCGAGAAAGCTTGGCCCAGACTTGTGCATCAATGGATGGATCGTAAATTGGTGGATAGTCTCCGCTGTCGATTCTCTCGGTTATTAATTCCTGGTAAATCCCTCGTGGGGCCGTGGGGTCTCATCGGCAACTTGTTTCTGGGACTTTTCTCCTAATGCGATTCCTGGAAGTTGTCGACTAGTATTGTCATGATGAGGGCATCGACGTAATGAATGGGGGGAGCAAAGAGGGTCAACTGCTAAAATAATTATTATCCCGGACTATTGGAGAGACTATAAGGGTGAAGGTAGTTGGATCCATTCGACTACCCATTACCGTATGGAGGAAAGACTGCACACCATCCGACAAACCCGTGACCCCACCTGACTTGTTTCCACCCTTGTCCCGTTACATTGTCCCAGTTGACTACTGGTGGAGAATTGCAAGACAAAACAAATATCGGTGAGGATTAATCCTTTCTCTTCTTTCAGACTAAGGCATCGCCGCGGAGAGTCCCATTGATCTCTTCCAAAGTATCGCCATTCGGGCATCTACCATATTGTTGCCTACGTCATCGCATCACTTGTCTGACCAGTTGACGGACATCGCCATGATGCCTGTTTCAACACGTCCAAGCAGTGTATATAAGAGCCTCGCGCATCTCGATGACTCTCCTCAATCCACAACCTCACACTTTTCAATGCGATGGAAGTACCGATGAGAAAGGACTGTTTTGCCAAAATCCCAGTGGAGATCCTCCTCGAAATAGCTAGCTTACTGGACATCAAGCGCTTCAGCAACTTATTAGCGACACGTAAGGATATCGCAGCTCATTATCGCCATTTAGTAAAACATTGCCGAATCATGTGTCTGTTATTAAAGGTACTGTTATTGAAGTTATCGACATTGAAACCTTCAAAAACCTCCTGGTAGCCGCCATAAACCCTAACTCCACTGACAGCAAAGGGAACACACTACTCGCTATCGCCGTGATGAAGCAAGAATTTGTCGAATACAACGTGCCTCTGGATAGGAATGAACCCGTGGAAGACAAGCCAACTGAGTTTGACGAATATGTCGAATTGGTTATGCGCTTATTAGCACATGGCGCTAATCCATCTATACCAAACCAGGATCACAGGCTGCCGCTTGATTCTGCTAGTTGGCGGACTCTCAAGAACGGGGAATTATGTGCCGCTCTATACAAAAAGGGGGCCAGGGTCACTGACTTGACTGCTTTTAGCCGCGTATGCGAATATCAGCCATATCATGGATCGAGAAGCTTATTAGCAACAGAACTGACATACCTGGTCTACGAGAACGTGGCTACCAAGGCCTCACTATATTCCATCATCTAGCGGCCAACAGCAAATTTGGCCTCCCTGAAAAAAGACCAGTGCTAGACTTGCTACATAAAGTTGCGCCTGGACTTCTGGATAAGCCGATGATTGAAGGAGAAACGCCTCTTCATCTTGCCACAAATTGCCGCAGCGATACTCTTGTCTCCTACTTACTTGATAAAGGGGCCAACATCGAAGCTTTAACTCGCACTGTGGGAGCCCCTTGAACTGTGCAGTGTATCTTGGGGATTTAGGCATGGTGAGATATTTGCTTAACAAAATAGATAGAATACGTCGACCATCACAATTTTATGAAGCACCATTATTAGAAGCCCTCTCTTATTGTCGATTTCCTAGCATTTTCTGGAATGCGTTTAAGATTGCGAGAGTTTTGCTCCAGCATGATAGAACACAAATGGATGATCAATGCAGAGAAATGATCGAACAGTTATGTTCACAGCAGATACCACGCGAGCACCGTGACGACTTCGAGGTAATCTTGAGGATTTCGCGGGAGCCAGAGACTGAACCGTCTCATACAGGAGTCTAAGCATGGGATGCTTCTATGTTTCACACATCATCTCCCTACTAAACCCTTAGGTGTTCTGGTCATGCTTGCTTTTTATTCTTGGACTGCATTGTTCTAGGGGATTTCTATCGTTCCTGCACAAAGTGGAACTAGCTCGACTCTATGCAATGGCCTTGAAGAGCAGGTCTTTGCTTGGAAGTACAAGTCAGAATATTGGACAGAAAAATACAGATAGTGAATACCATTACTTCCGCTTGATATAGGATAGGAAAGTTCCCAGTTGGTATATTGATGTATTTCGTTCCACAGCCAAACCAGTTAAAAGCGAAACACGACCAGAGCAGCCCAATTTTTTCTTTTTTTTTTTTTTCCTCTCCCTCTAGAGGCAGTATATCCACAGTTCCCTTTTTCTCACCCCTTCTATGTTATAAGCATACTCCCTTGTTCTTGCTTATTTGTTCCCTTTAGTACACAAGACCTCTATTAAATAACTACTAATAAGCTAGAAAGTTCTCTATCCCAAGATACCGTACCTGCACTATTGCTTGCTTATTGCATATAACCCTTTACCGATTACGTCACATTACCATAAGAGCATGATTGACATGTTAATCATGCTGTTTGGCCACATACTAGTCTTTACCCCATAGTCTTAACTCAAAACGAATTGCTTTTCAAGTACTCTATACTTCAAGACAGATAAAGATACATTGACAATCATAAGTTAATTAAAATATCTATAAAAGTAGTTAGTATTGCAGTGGTTTATAGTCTTTGTATCACGATATAACAACTACGACTCCTATCCTTCATCAACAGAACATCCTGAAACAAGAAGATAAGTTTGCAAAAACTGCCCAAAAAAGAAGAGAGGCAAAAAAAAAAAAAAAAAAAGCAAAATCAAATGAAAACTAGAATATTCATCCGGCCATGCAAATAGTAAGTCATATTCTCAATAGTAACCCCATCTAGTGACACTACAGCCCATAGAAAAGGAATAAACCCCTATTCCACGACTCCATATTTAGATCGTCAATAGATATGATATACTCCGTACACCATTCCCGAAAGAATGAGCACCGCCCCGCTCGGCTTTTAGTAGCGGTTTTCTGATATACATGCCCAAATAGGAAGGGAGATACCTAGTCAGGAGGGTAAAAATAGATATCAGATCAGGAGAATGCGTGTCATGATCAGAATCTCTCACCATGTCAAAAGTACGGGCAAAATGGCGGTGAATGGCACTAAATCAGATATCAGCCCATTTCATTTTCATGAGAGATTTTTCATATCAGATCACCCAAGGAGAAAAGAGAAAAACCACTAAATAAAGAAAAAAAGTTTCTTGATTATCATTAACTAATAGCAGAACAAGCAATTGCTTTACAACCAACACGACAGAATGTCCATCCCATCCAACCGTTCGGCATCCTTTTGGTATCCATCCTATCACATCGATTATCATACACGCCATTGACATACATGAAGATATATCACTTGAAAAATTTTTTTTTCGTCTTTTTCGGTTTTCTCTCTTGAACCAACCCTCTTGGGTCCGTGGGTATCAGGAATTAGGGTCTCCGTGGGCTTTCCATCCCATCCATCAAATAACGAAAATAAAAACACAACGACAACAGCAGATATCAATCTGTTATTTCCGTTAGGCTTTTTCGCCCTTGAGCTTACGCTTGAACCATCCGAAGAAACCACTCTTCCGCTTCTCCAGCTTGGCAGCCTCGGCCTTGGCACTTTCTTGCGCCTGATCTTGCGCCTTGCTGGCTTCGTTCGTCACTGTCTCCTTGGCCTGGTCGGCAAGACTCTTGCCCTCCTCGGGCTTGCTGGCGGTATCGGCTGGGGCTGCCTGTGCGGCCTGAGGTTCCTTTGTCTTGGCCTCCTCGGGTTTCTTGATGTCTTCCGACTTCAGCTCCTCCGGCTTCTTGGCCGTAGCAGCACTTTCCTCCTGAGTATCCTGTACCGCACGGGGCTCCTTGGTCTTGGCTTCCTCGGGCTTCTGGATCTCCTCCGGCTGCTTTGCGGCGCTGGCACCCGCTTCCGGTGCCTCCTTAGCAGCAGGTTGACTCTCGGGGAGCTGGTTCTTGACTGCTGCAGTGCCCTCCTGCACTTCGGCGACCGGTTTGCTCTCTTCGGGAATGGTGTCCTTCACAGGAGCCTGGGTGTTGTCGGACGCGCCCTGGGTTTCCTGTTCCACGTTGGACACAGCTTGGTCAGCAGCAGGCTGGTTCGCGGAAGTAACCTTCGAGTCGGGACCGTCGTGAATGCTAGAGGGAACCTTAAGGGCTGGTTCGGCAGGTGGAGCGGAGGTTGCAATGCCAGGACCGGTGGTGGCGGATGCAGATGCGGCCTGGGCGGTCTCGTGGGTCTCTGAAGGAGCAGTCGCGCCAGAAGGAGCCGCCGTCTCTGTGCCAGTGACCTCCGAAGGAGCTGCGGCGGTTGTCAGTTCAGTGGTAGACGGAGCCTCCGGTTCGCTAACAACGGCTGGCGCAGCGGTGGTGGGAGGCTCGCTCTTGACCGTCTCCTCTGCCTTAGATATTCCAGAGTCTTTGGGCTGCTCAGCAATATCAACTTTGCCGGCAGACGTAGGGGCTCCTGTTGGAGCAATGTCCTCTGCGCCCTTGGGTTCAGTGGCGACTGTCTCCTCCTCTGTCTTAGAAATCTCAGAGTCCTTGGGTTTCTCAGTCGCATCAGCGTTGGCATCAGAGGTAGGGGCGCCCGTTGGGGCAATGTCCTCTGCGCCCTTGGGCTCGGCAGGAATGCTAGAGCCAGAAACAGCCGATGCCTCAGCAGTCGATGGGACCGTGGACTTCTCCTCTGCGGGAGAGAGACCAGGGACATTCAGGACAGTTGACACATAGTCGTTAGGGTCAGCACCAAGGCCCGGCACAATCTGAGGCTGCACGCTTCCCGTGTCAGCGGGAACTTCCGGTTTCCTCGCCAAAGATCCCGTCTCAGCAACATGACCCGAGGTGGCACCCGCAGCCGCAACGGTATCGTCCACCTTAGCCATCTTGTGGGGTAATTCGTCGTCCTTGGCGGTCAGACTGCTCTCGTATGGTCGTTTGGCATGAGCATCGAAGGTGTCGGTAACCGTCTCCTTCGGGCGCTCGGGGAGGGAAGTTTCCGTTCCAGCAGTGGCGGGCAGAGTCTCGGGGGTCAATTGGAGCGGCTCATCGGTCACGGACGATTTGACTGTGGAAAGACATGGTTAGGCCAGGAATGGTTGCGTGGAACGACAACAAATGCGCTACTTACCCGCACCAATTGCCTCTGTATCAACCAACTCAGACTTATCGGCCGAGCCGGTTTCCGCCTTGTTTACAGCGTCCTGCAAGATCTCCCTGGCCTCTTCAGTGGAGGCAGGCGGGGCGGCCGAGGGGATATTGGCAATCGCATCGGGGACAGTGGTCGTGGGCGCCGCCGTCACGGCCTCAGCGGGTTCTGTGACAACATCACTGACCTCGCCTTCCCCCTTCGCAACAGTCTCCTCGACTTCATGACCAGGGGTCCTGCGCAGGCGTCAGTATAGCTATGAAGACGCGCGACCGCCCCTCCCGAAAAGAGCCGGCGCGGGCGATGCGATGTGCGACTTACACGGGGTTCTGAATATCAGTGGCCTTCTTGGTCGCAGCAGCGGCGGCACCGCCAGCCTTGCCACCCTTGTTCTTGTTCTTACCCTTTCCTCCTTTCTTGGCCATGGTGATCGACGATAATCTGGTAGCGAGTGGAGGGTTAGAGAGGGTTGGGACACGTATCGATGACGACAAAAGGTTGCGCGGGGTTCCGAGGGTCCCATGGAGACTTACAGTAGGGTCGAGGACGATGGAGGATGGAAAGTTGATACAGAATTGAGAAGTTGGCCGATTCAATTCAGGCGGTGGCAGACTGGAAACGGACAGGTTGCGTGGATGTCAGTCAGGGGCGGGTCAAGGTCTGCCTGGGTTGGTATGTTGGTTCTTTCCGAATGCTAATTTAATCGTTCGGCGAACGTTAATCCGCGATTGTCGGGAGGGCAGTCCACGCTTGCCCAAACAACAACAATTATCCCCTGTCGCGACAACTCTTTGAGTAGCTAAAGTTGTAGTTGCAAGGAAGCAGAGTAAGAGTAGTGGGCGTCGAGCTCTAAATTGACAATCACAAACGATGCAGCCAAAGCAAACATTGGACGCAACACACACTGGTCACGCCCTGGTCACATGAGGCGCATCCAAGGGACACTTTCGATCCTTGCGCGTTACAGAAACTCGTTGTCTAAAGGCAATTGACACCAGAAATGGCTGGAAGGGAGAGCAATCCAGGCGGCGATTATCACCTTGCCAAATATGCCTCACAATTACAGGGGGGGGTCGTTCAAATCTACAGCTATGGTTACTCGTTCTCATCATCTTGTTGACCGCATAGTTCGGGAACAAACAATTCGAATTTCGAATGAGATCTGTTCAATTCAGCCCTAAAGACGAACTCAGACATCCGCTGGTTTCAGATAATTCAGGCGATCATGTTATTACAAATTTCCCAAGGGGGAAATCTCGGGCGCTCTCGTTCGCTGAAAGGCATTGTCTTTGTCTGAATTCGAAGCAGTCCGCTGTTTTCGTCGGTGGCGGCGATCCACAGGTGTGCCTGCAGTAGTTGGACTCTTAGCAAGGCTGGGGTACAAGTCAGTTAACCAACCCTACCTCGGGTCATCGTTGTTCCGGCGTTCCATGTTTTCCGGGTAGGGTAAGTCTGCACTTGACCTATGTCATCTCACAAGAAATGGCACAACATAAGCAATAATAGAGTAGATGAGAATGATTCCTTGGACTTGATCCTTATGCAATTCAGGATATATTCTTTGTGCCCAGTGACCATACAGATGCACAATTGAAAAAGCCATTACGGGCTTTACAGACATACGCAGAGGCGCGTAGAGAGCATGGTTGACAAGCGAGTTACATCACCAAGAATGTGTGCAGCCTATCAACCTAAAATAGATTCTTTGCCCAGAATGTCCGGTTTTCCGGTTACATAGAGCTAAGTCTCGATAGACCAGACAAGAATCGCAATGTGCGCCCTGCAGGGCCACGCTCAAGGAAGGGCTCTATGACTAAATCGATCTTCACAGTCTGAGACACAGCCAGCCTTGGTGACTTGGCTTGAATACTGAATACGTACTGGTATCCCTTGCGGATCTTCATGTGAATTAACATCCAATGATGCGTACAACATGCATTAACGCCTGATGAAGACAAGTTGAAGAATCTGAATCTTCCAGAAGGGTCACTATTAGTGACATCATCGGTCATACGCAGCTAAAGTGCCCAACAAAGGCTCCGTCAGCCCCTTGCAGCCACGGCGTAAGCGTACCTAGTACTGGAGTACGAGAGGAATTATCTCCAAGGGAAAAAAAATAATAATAAAAGAAGGTGAGCAAAAAGACAACAAAAGAGCGAGGAAGGAAAAAGGGAACAGAAGTAATATAGATTTTGTCGATATTGATTATGTTTTCTTTTTTATAGTTACTTATAGATATAAGAAAGTATAAAAAATATTGACCGACGCAGGGATCGAACCTGCAATCTCTTGATTCGTAGTCAAGCGCCTTGCCATTGGGCCAGCCGGCCTGATTGTTGAAGAGTTAGCAAGTATTTGCCTACATAAAGCAAAACTATATTATTCACCCGCGACACGGAAGCAGCGTGCCGAGTGGGGGCAACGCCGACGTCCGCCGGGATTAGCATCCCAGACATATCATTTGCCCACACCCACTTATCATTTATCCCATTATTGATGGATATTAGCAAAAATTACTAGTGCCTCTAGTCACTTACGGAGTTTATACCCACAGCGCCAGCGCCATTGACGGCATAGTGGGCTTGGAACGACGATGGAAAGCGTGGCCGGAGTCACCGCCGCGACCAAGGATTGACGTTGCATACATGAACGAACAATGATCTCGATATGAGTCGCAGACTACGGTAGTGATAGATAACAATAATGTTTATGCTAAATTTCGGCCGCATGTTACATCCGGGGTGACACTCGGCGTCTTCAGAGTCTTACGGTTCCCTGGGTTGGCTGGCTCGGTGGTGGCACATCGATCGGTCCGGCTTGGCCGACGGACGTTCTGGAAGTCTTCGCTGCAGGACACGACAGCAATGCATTCCTTTGGGTTTTTTCGATCAACATGGGTGTACCATTGCCACCCCATTAAGCAGTGGGTGGGCGAACTACTAATACCGCGTGTCGGGGAGGGCAACCAGTTGTCATTCTTGACTGTATTTTATCTTCCCTTTTGATTGGGAGATAAAAGAGGGAGGATCCTTTTTGCAACTCATTCGACGGCCAGGAATGCTTGGCCAGCGGCGAACCACTCGAGAGAACGTAACCATGGTAGCATTGGTGGAAAAGAGTAGCAGTACCTTTGCTTGATGCACCGCACAGCGTCGGTACAGCCCGATATTTCTTATTTGATTGTGAACGGGGCGAGAAAAGGGAATCAATCAGTCATGGGGTTGGGAGACATCCGGGCATCGGCATCGCTGCACCCTTGCGGCATTTCTTTGACAATGAAAGTCTCGCTGGGCAGGAGAACAGTTGGCCTGGCCGTCAGAGTCATCATATCGATTATTATTGGCCCCCAGGTCAGCCGTCAGGTTTCTCCAAATGGTAAACGCTCCAGTGATTCTTGACTTATCGAGGACAAAACTCGCATTGTGAATGCGATAGGTAAATCGACTAAACCATTCGGGAAAACCGGATCATGGTCTGGATTTCAATACTGTAATGTGCGCACGCACACACAAGAGAGAGAGAGATCCTACTGAAATCTCCACGTTGACTTAAACGCCCCTCTTTTTCTGATTGTCTCACCGGATGAAGCGATGGCTTATCGCGGCTTAGAGCGCTGTACTAAACCCAGGTGGGAAGTAGACGATAACCTTAGACCCGGTTAATACGGTACCGACGGTAAAATCGGGTATGCCTCGTCGTCTGGTATTCCAGTACCTGGTACGAGCATCCCCGTTCATGCCCGATCAACCAATTACAATCGTCATTTTGCATTTTGCTTCTAATGGAAACTCCCCCCAACCATGAAATCATCGGTATGATCCATGTAACCAACTGCTGGAGTGGGATTCCGTCGATGTTCCGTAGTTTACCACTTAACCAGTCTGAGCTATATTCCTTCCAAACGCCGCCCCCCCCCCATCCTCTATCTATTCTATGACTTCCTGTCTCTCTCCCTCTCTTTTCTACTTCTTCTTCTTCTCCTCATTTCTTGTTCACACCAACCTCCTTCCTTTATACCCGTCTATGCAAACGATGATATCACAGTTTATCCGTAATTACGACTGTCGCTTGTGCTTGCACGCTCTCCCTCGCGTCCATTCCCTTCTCGGGAAAGGTCTGCTGCTGTGAGTTGCTGACTGGATCTGACGCTTGTCCCCATACATCGAACTATACACACCGGTCCAACAATTTGATCGTATACACGGGAATTAGGAGGATTTTTGGTACTTCTCGTCAACATGAGTCTTCGCGAAAAGGTTCGCAGAGTATTTCGTCGCTCGACGAGCGGTTCGAAATCGAAGGACAACTCCAATTCCATCAAGATCGAGTATTACAAGCGCCATGAGATTCCACCATCCAAGTTCAAGGGCCCATTTGACCGCGAGCATCAAAAGAGTTTAGCTGCATGGTCCTTTGGCGACGCCCAGGCCGAACGACCCCGTTCCCCAGATCTTTCTTTGTCCCCTTGCGCATCTTTGCCCGACTATTTGAGGCCTCGTGTCCAGGAGGATAGTGTGGCTCCTGATGAGGTTCCCTCGCTTGCCCCAGAAGATTTGTCTGATGGTACGTAATCCT